TCGAAAAAAAAGGGAGCCGAACACGAGCACACTTTTTGAGCTCGAAATATAAACAAGCCGAACACGAGCTGGGCATGACTCTCTCGTGTTCTGCTCGTTTACACCTCTACCTATAAATTATAAATTTTTACTCATGTGTCCGCTTTTTCGCCCATAACATATTTACTAATGTCACGTATATGTCAAAAAAAATTAATATATTGTTTGACAGGTTAAAAATATATGATAGGGCATTGCAAAGTTATATTCATGTCAGCATTCTTTTTATGGAGAGAATATAATGTACTTAGTTCGCATGTATACGAACTTCTAGTACAACCATGTCGTCCAGCATTATACAAATGGGTACAACGATGTATAATATAATAGTTGTCATACACATTTGTATAAATAAGTACAATAATGTATAATATAATTGTATAAAAAGTCTACCAACACTCTGCACCTATTATTTTTTTCACTTTTTATGGGAGTGATGAGCCATTATTATGACAAGTGGCTCGGTTCTTCATATTAGGAGAAATATTTGCATACGTAAGACGTACGCAGAGTTGCGTACGTCTGACAGGTTACAGGGAAAGTATTAGGGATTATATTCTTGTTATACTCTCTGTAATCTCCCTGTAACATACTTGTAACTAGTAAGTTCCGCGCTTTTGTTTTCATATATTTCTAAGTTATAAATATGTTACAAGTTGCGGGAAAATTATAAGCATATAACATATATATAAATTTCAATATCCTCTCTGTAATTTACCTGACATACGTAACGCTGAGTACGTTTTACAAATATTTCTACATATTAGAGACAAACAGCCAACTGCACTTTGCAGTTTTCTACTGAATTCGAACGGCGTTACCACTCCGTTTCCAGCCCCTCTTCCCCGTTAGAGGCATACCTTTTAAAATCTCCCGTTGTTCTCGCCTGGCAACCAGTTAAAATGAATCACGTGTATAATTTTCTGGATGATAAGAATCCGATACAACGTTAGTCGAAAGGTAGCCGTCCGTCCTGCTTCCGCATCTGAACCGCCACAACTAGAGAAAGAGAGAGAGAGATCATGGCTGCTCCACCGTTTTACTGAAGTCCTACTCGCTCTATTCTTGTTCTTTTCTTTTTTTCAATCATGTACTTCGAAGAGTTTTCGAGACTGTGCTTTTCGATCGCTGCTGAGCTCCTCACAAAAACCTTGAGAAATTCCTGATCCAGCGCTTGAAGATCTACTAGGGTTTGAGGGGGAAGCAAAACCTATCTTTTCATGTATGGCGTCAGGACCGCTGTTGGACGGCGGCTGCGATGGCTCCCTTGAGAAGCGGCGGTGGGTGGAAAGCAAGGTTTACACCCGAAAAAGCGTTAACAGAGGGACCAAGCCCAACCCGAGTCAAAACCCCCATCCTCCTCAAATCCAGCCCCTGGATTCCTCGCAAACCCTAGCCACTACCACCGATGACGTCAATTCTTCCTTGCAGCAGCTCCAACCCCCTCGTCAGGAGAGTCACCGACCCTCGGGGCCTCACCAATCGTCCGCTGCCTCCGACGAAGACGCCTGCAGTCTCAACCATAAGCCCAGCGGGAATCACGAACTGTCCAATCGCCAGAACCGGTTTGTAACCATCAATCTCGCTTTCAAGTCAAAGCATGAAGTCTGGGAGCTGCGGAGGAAGCTAAATTCTGAGCTTCAGCTGGTCCGTTCTCTTGCGAGGAAACTCGAGGCCAGGCAGCTACAGCTTTCCGCCAACGATCCAGGTAAAGCTCCGTTTACTACTGGGCAAAGTATATCTCAACTCTCTGCAGATAATGCCCGAGATTATTTTCCTGCCAAAAGGCCTCCGGCAATATCAGAGGCTGCTTCTGCTGCTGCCCAAACTCCACCATTACGCCCCCAATTAAGTGTATCAGTTCCAGCTGGAACTGGTGGGGATAATGAATCTCGCGACCTTATGGAGAAGGAGAAGCGAACTCCTAAGGCCAATCAGTACTATAAGAACACAGATTTTTTACTTGGGAAGGAGAAGTTCCCGCCATCAGAGTATAACAAGAAGTCCAAGGCGAATGGGAACAGGAATGGCATGCAGTCTGTGGACAAAAAGTATTATGAGCAGGCCTTTAAAAAGTGCGGGGTGCTACTTTCTAAGCTTATGAAGCACAACCATGGCTGGGTTTTCAACAGTCCTGTTGATGATGTTGCACTTGGTCTCCCTGATTACCATAGAATTATTAAAAATCCAATGGACCTTGGTACAGTCAAGTCCCGGTTGAGCAAAAACTGGTACAAGACTCCCAGGGAATTTGCTGAGGATGTGAGACTCACCTTTCACAATGCAATGACTTATAATCCAGAAGGACAGGATGTGCATATTATGGCCAAACAACTTTTGCAGATATTTGAGGAGCGGTGGCCTGTTATAGAGGCTGACCTAGCATATTTTCACTATCCTCCATCATTGAAGAGGCCTCTACCTATTGACCCGAGAAAGACTCTAGAGAGGTTGGATTCAACTGTTCATCATTCTGCTGTAGATTTGAAGACAAAATCGATGAATCAAAAGACGGACATTGGGCGACCTCCAGCATCCAAGAAGCCCAAGGCTAAGGATCCAAATAAGCGGGACATGACCTTTGATGAGAAGCAGAGACTGAGCGATAACCTGCAAAAACTTCCTTCTGAAAAGCTGGATTTAATCGTTCAGATAATCAAGAAAAGGAACTTTTCGCTAAGCCAACATGAGGATGAAATTGAGGTGGACATTGACAGTGTAGATACTGAGACTCTTTGGGAGCTTGATAGGTTTGTAACCAATTATAAGAAGAGTCTGAGCAAGAATAAAAGGAAGGCAGCACTTGCCATGCTTGCAAGGGCAGAAACTGAGCAGCAATCCCTAGACACGGAACAAAGAAGGGTATGCATTCTGTTTTATATTGTATTAAATTTATTTTTCATGAACAATTTTTTTTTTCTTTTTCTTCAGCTTTCTGATGCTGCTCCTCCAGAGTCACAGAAGGAAAGGAAAACAGGTAACATTATCATTTTTAGTCGTTTCTTTTCATATATGCCCAACTGATCCTTTACTAATGTGTTGAAATATGTTCCGTTTTGAAAGGCATTGTTTCATCCCCAGCTGGAGGAAGGAGTGGGGAGAATGGAATCAAATCAAGTAGTTCAGGCAGCTCCAGCAGTGATTCTGGATCAACTTCCAGTGGTATGAGATTGTTAGAGATGCCATGCTTTTATAATTTTCATACATACTATGATCTTTTGATATTTTTATTTGTCTTTTCCAACTTCTATTCCCTTGATATATTTAGCTTATTTTGTGGATTTAACTAAATGCCACAAAATTCTTATGTATTTGCATATCTAACACAACTTTTTATATTTACTTATATAACTCCTTTTTTTCTAAATTACATCAAAATACATGCATAAATATGTGTATTTCACTTTAGAATATTAATGTGAGTATTATTTTTTATGTGATTTAGAGATTAGGCTGTTATTAAAATAAATATTAGTATTCAGGTGTTAGATTTTTGCATATATAATAATTTTGTGATATTTATAAAAATTGCCCCCTTTTTTTACAATTAGGATACCTAATCATCTCCTTGAAGGAAATCTACACTAATGTGATTGTGCAGATTCGGATAGCGAAAGTTCTTCTGGGTATGAATCTGATGCTGCACAGTCTCCTGGATCATAAAATAGTATAATGCAGGTGAACATTAGATTGATTTCCTTGAATTAATTGACTTGCACTCAAATTTTTGGTCTTCAAATTCATTTTGTGGGGATTTAAGACCTGTCAGTCCATCGTTTTTGGTGGATGTGTCTGTTAGGTTTTGATGTAAATTAAAGCAGTTTCTTTAGACGGTTATGATTTCATCTAACATAAATCTTCTCAGCTGTAATGATCTAAACTGTTTTGCTCGCAGAAGATGAATATTCTCCACAGTCGTTGTAAGAGAATCTTTTGAAATATTGCTGTTGATGCTGCATTTGATGGCCATTTCAATCTTGTTTTACTGACATAATTAATGACTGTTTGGACGCCAGTTGAAATATTAGAGTAATTGTAATTTATTTAATGTGGAAAATTTTCACTTTACATTCCATTGAATATTGTAGGCGATAGCACTTTCAGAATTATGTTTTCTTGTCTGTGGTGAAGTAAATTAAAGAATACATTTACATTATCTTATGAATCTTACTGGTTTGTTTTACTATTTTCTATAGTGGAAAAATCCTTTTTATTAATTTTGAACTATTGGAAAATGATGCTTTACTACATTTGTTTGTCTCTTTCACCCTCAATGTTAATTAAATCTTAGCCTATTCAATTTTAGTCAGTTTCTATAACTTAATTGCTGTATCATGACATAAGGTCTGTTTACATGTACCCAATAGTTAAAAGATGAAATAGAAATTTAGGTTAATTTTTTGGTCTTCTTGATGTTTTAAATGTGTTTTTATTTTTATAATTTTTATTTGGAGCATTAGAAATGAAGCTTGACATGTCTTGCTATGTTTCTTTGATGTTTTAATATGCAAAACATGAACAGAAGGCAGTGTTGAAAGTTGAATAATCAGTCCTTCTGAGTTTGGTAACATGTTCTTGATAAGGGAATGATATTGAGAAGAGCATGCTTTTGAAGTCCTTATTGTTTTAATAACTTGTTAAAATTACAGTGAAGATTTCAGTTATCATGGCGCATTGCTATATGTTTATTCTTCATGATATTCATACTGGTTTAATCATCCAAATGTCTTTGCTGGATTTGCACATGCTAACTGATGTTATTATTGATTTTTATAGCATTGTTGGTAATTTATTAAATTCGCAATCTTCATTGGTTACAACTCTTGTCTGAATCATTGGTGAATAGTCTCTCTTTTACTCATGTTTGCATGGTTGCAAATATTGTGACCTTAGGAGTCATTTTTTTAAATGTACTTTAGGCCATCTTCTTATGACACGGGCTTGTAATGTATCTTTCATATGGGGCTGTTTGGATCAATGTTAACCAGTTTGCAATAATGCTGTAAATTTGATTGTTAAAACTAATCAGGGAAAGAGCTTGTTGTTTATCATTAATGGAATTGGTGTCTATATATAGAAAAATAATACAAAAAACCAAACTACGAAGGAAATGATGCCGAGATTAAGACGGAAATATATCACAACACTGTTGAATTTCTCACTCATCTATGATAATACACTATCTCAACCTATAGTGTATATATATCGTTAACATCTAACTTGTTGTGGAGATGGGAAACTAATGTTGTCCCATAGCCTTTATAAAGACATTTGCTAATTATTCTTCTTTAAAGAAATGTAAAGTGATGATCTTTATTAATAGATCGCTTTCTCTCATGAAATGACAATATACTTCATATGTTTTGTTCTTTCATTATGGATGACTTCTTAATTGTCACTTTTAAGAACTATAAGTTGAGTAACAGGAAATCTAAATTCTCCATTAAGATTATCATTTCACATGTGTAATACATTATTGCTTTGCATATGGCTTCTACTAAGTCTTGTTTTATAGGTCCATGAATCTCTTTCAGAGCTTCATTGTATGATTCATTAGTTTTATTCTTTTTTTATTATCACGATCTTGAATACCTCTTATTTTTCTGAAATATTGATACCAAATTGCATTATATTCAATCATATGTCATCCTCTTTGTTAAAAAAAAAAAAAAAAAACTAAATTTTGAATGGTTTGTTAAATCATAACTCTCTGAATCTCAATAGACTTGATATCTTTTTAGTACCTACACTATTACCTTTATTAATCTTATTTAAGTCTAACTCTACTGCAAAATTTTTAATTAATCTATAATTCATCTTAGTATTTTTTAATATGATCTTCTAGAATGTGATCGTCTATATATTCTAATTTAGTAATTTCATAAATTATTGTTTCTTTCTTTTTCTAAATCCTAAAATAAGATATTATTTCTAAAGCATCCAAATTGATCTGTTCTTTTTTTTTTAATCTCCTGCCTTACTGATTTTATAGATCATTTTTTTCTTCGTATCTAGCTTGTAGGTCCTTGAAATTCAGGTTTTATTTTGTTCATTACCCTTTTCAAGAATTTTGTCTTTTTTAAAGCCATTGCAAATCTCAATAAGATTTTCTTCCTTTTAGTCTTTAAAAGCACATTATTTTCTAAATGGTTTGATGAATACTTAAATCTTTATGCTAATCAAACTCAACACTGGTAATTTTCTTCCATATATGACAATAATCAATATGATATTGAGTTTGGAAATTATATAAAATGATAGACCTGATAACAATAGTATGTGAATGCTAACTTTTTTCTAGCTAAAGGAAATCTCTCTCTCTCTCTCTCTCTATATATATATATATATATATATATATAATTTGTTAGCTAGTCTATTACTTAGTTTAACAAAATTCTCTATGTTATTTTATTATGATTTTGTTGTGCCGTGCTTTGTTTTTTGCTCTGAAAGCTAATGCCATTGCCTCTATCTGTTAACTAGTTAATGCAATGACTCAGCCTTAATCAGTCAATTGTTTCCAAATTTAAGAGAGATCAACTTTACCTTAACAATAATAAGATCTCAGACAGGAGTCAGATGCAAATCTATGCTACTATTAATTTCAGTAATAGTAACATAGATTTGAAAATGTGAATATCCCTCATAAAAAATGCTTTCTAGTGACCTAAAGTCTGGGATTTTTTCTAGTTGATATTTTGACAGAAAACACACATCATGACATCCATAAAAAAAATTTTCATGAAAAAGCCATCGGCAGTTTCTGTCAGAAATTCACTTGCAGATTTTTTTTGACATTTTGGCCAGAGAGATTTTGGTGAATTTTTAGCCTCTGATTTGCTAAAAGCATAAAGACGTTTTTTCCTAAGATTGGCCGCACCACTCCTACGAGTTGGATTGTTTGCGTCACAAATTTGTAAATCACATTTATGCATTCTGTATTAACAATTCAGCAACCGCATGATAGAATGGATTAAAAATTAACATAATATTCCTTTAAATGAAAATATAAATTTCAGTAGATTACAATTTTATTGCTTTTTTACATTCACTTCTTCTTGGCTCTCTTTCATTTTTTTCTCTTCATTTGCTTTCCACGCCCTTCCTACTCTTATCTGTTATGTTTTCCTGGCTCAAGCATTACCGAGCAGCTTCATTGATCCTTGCTTGTATTTCAATATTCATATGATGCGTTTTTTTAGCATTCCTATATGATTTTCAAATTTTAAATTATTGCAACTACTGATGCCTCACCAGCTATAATAACTCGTCCACTACAGTCAGAATAAGAGATATAAGATGTTGGTGTATCATAAATTATATCTTGTGAGATTAATCTAATTCATTCTCCCTTTCCGTTTTTCCCCCTGTTATTTGGATCCATATCTAATTCCTAAGTCAAACAACCTAAATCTTCCTCTTTTGTAGAGCTTTATTTCATATATCTTAGGTGCAGGTGCTCATCCAACAAAAGATTTTCTGATATTGGAGATCCTTACAAGTTTGAGTAATTAACATTCTGATTATGAAATATTCAATTTATCTATCTTTGCTGGCTTTGTGTTCTCAATTTCATCATAATGCAGTCTCTACCCAAAATCTTCTTGTGTAAAAATTCTTTTAAAATTATTTATGAATTACAATCATTATTTTCTTCTATGCTCTGTGTGCGAATTGAGCCACAACTATAGATTGATTTGCATATTCAGTATAATCGAGATGTATGATTTTACTCTATTGAGCATTATTCGGCTTTCTTGCGCCATACATTGATCAATAGACACTATTTTCTTGGTCTGCACGTGCCTATCGCCAAGGTTATAGATATCAATGAAGCTATTGTGCAAGTGAGATAAATTTCATAGCTTAAAGGCATTCTTTATCAGATCATGATGTTGGGGTAGGTAGTAGAAGTATGTGGACTTGCATGATAAGTTTTGGTAGCTTGCATGATAAGTAGGTTGTGCAGGATGGATGATAGCATGTAGATGGGTTTGCACGTGATGGTAGTAGTGGAAAGGTTGAATAGGGATAAAAAAGTGCTATATAGATGGGCTTGCTTAGGATGGTGGCATGTAGAATTGACAAATAAGATTAGTAGTTACAAGTGCGAAGGGGGCAGGAAAGATTGGACTAGTACTACGTGGTGTACCATGGATAGTTGTGATGATAATAAGGCTGAATATAGTAGGGGTCCTTGCGGTAGCAATGGGTAGAGTGGAGGTTGGAGGGTAATCAACAACCTTACTTTTTGTTTGCTAAAAAATAAATGAAATGGATAATCGAGAAGGCTTAATTCCATCATTAGATGATATCTACAACTATGAATATTAAATTAAATAATTATATAAAAATGAGTATTTGCTTGACCATGTAGTACATTGGTTAGAAAAAAAAGTGAAAAATCCTAGAGAGTCGGGTTTGAGAGCTCGTTCTGTCCCCCTAAATCCTAAACCTTAAACCCTAATCCTAAAATATTTGCTACTGTTGTAAAAGTGTTAGTAAAATAATATAAAGAAGTGCAAGAAATTTAAGCAAAAGAAGAAAATATTAAAATTAAAATTAAACCTAAAAGTTGCATGCAATGGCAATCGTGTAAATGTGAACTTATGCAAAATTATTAAATATGTGCATTAATTATTTTTCTCTACTTATTATCGTTCATTATTAGGTTTTAA